TTTCCCTTCTCCACCACAGGAAACAAGAAGAGGAAATCTCAGGAACCTAGCTCAAATCTGGAAGATGAAGAGAACAATGATAAAGAGAAGGGCTCTCTTGCTTGTACAGGGATGTTCAAAGGTGGACCACTCTATTTCTGCCTGACCTGTGGCAGATGTTACAAAAAGTACATCAACCTCTTTAATCACCAGTTTAAGGCCCAGAAGACTACTAGCCACAAAGCCGTGGGCTCCAAGCCTCAGCATCGTAAAGAGAGGACTTTCTCTTGCCAGCTCTGTAACAAGATCTACCGTGATCCTTCTGGACTGAGCCGGCACCGACGCACTCATTTAGGTTATAGGCCCAGTTCATGCTCTGTGTGTGGAAAACGCTTCCGGGATCAGTCTGAGGTCAAACGCCACATGAAGGTACACGAAAACAGGAAGCCAGTGACTGGCAACCAGGAGCATGAGGTGAAGAAGGTTCCACTTAAAACAGCTGGATCCCAGGGTCCCAACGTCAGGCATGTGAAAGTGATCCAAAGACCAGTGGCCAGGGCTAAGGCAAGCTGCAGCAGAGACTCATCTCTGAATGTCAGATCCAGCTCTATTCCAGTAAAATGCTCAAGAAAAAACATCCGTTGCCCCTATTGTTTGATACATTTTACCAAGAGGACTTGCTTCTTAACCCACCTCAAAGTCCACTTCACAAATGAGCCCGACCAATACCTCGGTGGCAGAGAGTCCTCCCACTCATCCGCGGTGGTAGGTTCCCAAAAGAACACCCACAGGAAGCAGGATATCTACTGTTGCCCTGTCTGTGATGTCTGCTTTAGGGAAAAGGAAAGCCTGCTGGATCACATGTGCTGTAAAGAATCAGGTAGATCCATTAAGTGCTGGGAAATCCTGGGTCATTTGCTTGCTTTTCTTGATCCCTTTGAAGCCAGGAAATATTTCAAAAGTAAAGGAGTCCTCAAGGGAAGAAAAGAAGAAAAAATGAAATCCAAGAAGACAAGATGAAACATGCCTGCAGTGAGAATTCCTGAATCATAAGTAAAGGACAAGTCAAGGCTGTGGTTTGTTGACAAGGTACAGGCAGCATTTCATGACCCTGGAGTTCTTCAAAGCATGGTCCCAGTCAAACTCAAGTCAAAGAACATTCTTAATATGCTGCCCTAGTGCTCAAGTGTCAAGGCTATCAAAACCAAGGAAAGTCAGAGAAATGGAGACAGCCTTAAGGATCAATTGAGACTGAATGTGTGGTGCCTTATTATAGCATCTTAGAAAAGACAAAGGACAATGGTGATAACTAGAGTGTAAATGAAATAGGTATAGATGAATGTGTCAATATTGTTTCATGAATTATAAATGTACGGTGATGCGAGATTTATTTTCATGTTCGTGTGTGCTTGCATGAGTTCATGGGGAGCACACACAAGCAGTGCCCTGGAGGCCAGAAGATGACTGTGAGCCACTATGTGAGCGTAGTACCGAAACTGGGTCCTCTGTGAGAGCAGACAGTGCTCTTAACCACTGATCTGTATCTCCAGACTTGCAGGATGTTTTAAGCAGAGAAACTGGAGGCTCTGTGCCTCAACTTTGCAGTTTCTTTAGAAATCTAAAAGCATTCTAAATTTTAATTTATTTTAGGATTTATTTGTGTGTGTGTGTGTGTGTGTAAGAGGAGCTGGAGGTACAGGCTTGCTGTGAGTCATTTGATATGGGTGCTGAGAATCAAATTCAGGCTCTTTGCAAGATCTATAAGTGCTCTTAACCATCTCCCCAGCCCCATGCATTCTAAAATTTTAAATATCATGTTTACAAAATAGTCTTCAGGGGCTAGAGTGTTGTTTTTTGCTTAGTCTATGCCCTGGGTTGGGTGGGTTGAATTTCCAGTTCTGTTCCTATGTGTATGTGAGCACGCCCCTCACCGCAAGTTCCCAAACCCTCAGGGATAGAACAAAAAATGGAAAGTAATGTTGACATCAAGGGGTTGAGTAGGGAAATACTAAGAGACACAACAGGACTCCTTATAACCGCTCTACTTTCTTCCAACTACTGTGTAGTCCTGGTCACTCAGAGGCATCTTCATCCCCTACACCCTGGCCCAGCCTTCAGTAGGCCCTTACTGGCTGATTCCCTAACAAACCTGCTCTCCTGGTTTACACAATCTAAGAGGATAGAGCAGCAGCGCCCTCGTGTGGCCATGATATTGAAGACCGACGACCCCAGGTCTTTATCTTCCCGCGGAAACTTCCCCGTGGTCCAAAGCTTTCAGCAACCAGAGCCTCTGGCTCAGTATTCAAAATTGTGTCAGGTTCAGGGTGTGAGTGCTTCCCAAATCCTCTCAAACACAGATGCGTCCCTCCCTTGAGTGCTGGAGGACGCTGACTCGCGACAGAAGGCTGCAGGTTGACTACACAGCTCGTTCCTGCTCCCATTGTGCTGGGATTTCCCTCCTGAGAACCAGCCCAGAACTCCACAAATAAGATGGAGGAGGAGCCAGAGACACCCAGGGCTTTGTCCTGAAAAGACAGGGAGGCCCCGGAAGTGAAAATAGAGGCGTTGAGACCAGGAGAGAGTTCAAAAGGAATGAATGGTGGGCGGAAACCTGAGAGAAAGGGATACAGGAAGTTCAGACTGAAACACCAGTGCGTCAGGGGCGGGTTCAGTTGCAGACTGGCTTAGGAGCTTCTAACTGGAGTGCCACTTTTCGGATGGAAATGACCATTGGAATTTCAGGTTCTGAGAGGGGGAGAGGTAGGAGAAGAGAGGGCAAGAGATATCAAAACATTTTAAACAATTTTTTTCATTGTGTTTAATGTGTGTGGGTATACATTTCGCCTAAATGTACACTTGTGCACTAAACTTGCATGGTTGGGACTCTCAGAGGCCAGAAGAAGGTGTCTGATCCCCTGGAACTAACTGGAACCACCCAGGGATGGGATCTCATCTAAGCGGAAGTATCTGACATTCCAAACGCCACACTTGTGCACCACTTGCATTTCTTGTTTGTTTTTGACAAGATGTTCTCATGTAGCCACGTCTCAAACTTGAGATCTTAACATCACACTATGAAAATCCCTGTCACTGAGTTACATCCTCAGGCCGTTTTTGTTTGTTTGTTTTGGTTTGTTTAGTTGTTATTGTTTTGTTTTAACATACTGGTATTTGCTTAAACTGTACTCCATTATGCCAGCCTTGTCTGAGCAGTGCGGGGTGAGCATGCTTCATTTTTCCTACTTTTAAAATGGGACATTTAAGTGTCTCTTTTCTACATCTGTGTGGTTTACTGATCAAGAAGCATTTGGTCAGTTTCTGTTCAAGCTTTTGTGCCCACCCTACCTGTCGTCATCTGGTTTCTATAATTTCTCTGAAGTTTCCAAGCGTACTAACAGCTAAGAATTCTGGATGTTAGTGATTTATGCCATGAAGGTTCTTTGCTTGTTTTGTTTTGTAATTTTAAGCAGGCTCCTTTTCTGTAACCTAGACTGGCTGCAAGTGTGCTACAATCCTATCTTTAGTGCTGAGATTATTAGATCCCTGGAAGCACCTGACTGTCCATCAAGACCTTTTCTGCTTCAGTCTGTGTTGATTGGAGGAAAGGGGACAAAGGTGCAGATTTGTAAATCCCACCGAGACAGGTTCTGCCTTTTAAGGATAGACCTCCTGCACGATCTGGCTTTTCTACAATCATGAATGCTTTTTCAGGTAGCCAACCTGGAGTCTGGATAGAGTTTATGCTCAGATTTTTGTGGTACTGGGTAAGGAACCCAGGGCTGTATGTTAGGCAAACATTCTACACTGCTATCTATTCTATCAGCTGCTGTATTCGGATTTTGGATCTCAGAGCCACTGGGGCTGCAGTAATTTGCTTAGGACTTGGTAAACACACAAAGGGACTCTCTTAAAGTTTCTTTCGCTAGGCTTGACAGTGGAGGTGCATGCCTTTAATCCCAGCACTCAGGAGGCAAAGGCAGGCGGATCTCTGTGAGTTCAAGGCCAGCCTGGTCTACAAGAGCTAGTTCCAGGACAGACTCCAAAGCTACAGAGAAACCCTGTCTGGAAATCAAACAAATTTTCTATTGCTATGATGAAACACCAAGATCAGAAAGCAAGTTAGAGTGGAAAGGGTTTATTTGACTTATACTTCCAGATCAATGTTCATCACTGAAGAAAGTTAGGACAGGAACTCAAACAGGGCAGTAACCTGGAGGCAGGATCTGATGCAGAGGCCATGAGGTGATGCTTACTGGCTTGCTCCTTATGACTTGCTCAGCCTCCTTATGGAACCCAGGATCAGCAGCCGAAGGATGGCAGCATCCACAATGAGCTGGGACTGGAGAGTGGATCAGAGGTTGAGAGCAGTTGTGTGTCTTATGTTATATATAGGGTTGTTTATTTTGTTTGTTTTTTTTTCCCTGTATAGTGCAGGCTGGCCTGGAACTCACTTACACCTGTGTAGTAGAATTAGCAAAGTTGAATTAGGCTTCCAGGAACCCTCCCTGTTCCCCACCCCCAAACACAGAAGTAAATACTTAATTCTGGAAAATTGGATTTCCTAAGGCAGGTGATCAACCATAGGCAGGGAAAGAAGTTGTGGTGTTGGGCTTCTTAAGAACTACATTTCTGACCTTGGCGGGCAGCCACCCGAGGTGGGTGGGTTACAGGCATAGCGGGATCAGAGCAACTGCTAGTGTGGCCATTGCATAATGGATTCCTCACAGGAGGCAGAAGTGCTTGCCTGAGTTCAAGCCACTGTGTTCCCATACCCGGCCATTCAGGGAACTGTGGTCCTCTGAGGATGAGCGCTGGGGAAGACTAAGCCAGTCGAGGAACTGTTGGACTGCCAAGCCCCAGGCAGGGCTGATGGACACTGGGAGAGCATGAGGGCCCTGAGGGAGCGGGTAAAAGCTCACGCGGCAGATCCCCGGGTGTTTCACGGCTGGGGTCGTCCACATCCAAGAAAGTCTACAGCGTGCAGGCATTTCTCCCAGGTTGTGTGTGTGAGAGAGACCGGGCCTCAGGGTTAGAGAGAGATGGACCTGTCATGCGGCAAGGCTGCTTGATCTTCATGTGTTGAACTCCTGAGGCAGGGATTACACGTGTGTGCCATGCACCCAGCCGGACTCCTTAGATTTGCGGCAACCATGAATAATTTAGGTGGAGGAGTGGAATCAGGATTGAGAGATGACCGCACATTTCCTCCAGAAAATTACCCTATGGAAGGGTGGACAAAGCCAGGGTACAAGTGAACCCACTTGAAACCTCCTAGCAATTAACAACCAAGTCTTATTCAGTCTCCTTCCACTCTCAGGGGTCCTGGACCAGTAAAGTACAAAAGGAGGTAAAAGAGGGAGGAGGTGGGGGAAGGTAAACAATACCCACAATTAGTGGAGATTCTGTCTTAGTCTTCCTGGTTCTCAGGCAATGGACTGGGTAACCATGGTTACGTCTTCCTGCAATTGTGAAGACTTGATGATAGCAGGGGTCTTCCTTGCTAAAAACTTAAGGACAGGTCCTTGAGAACACTACTATAGAGCTGTTTGGAAGTTAACGGCTGAAAAATGGGAGGGGGAAGCTTGGTCAGCACCTCTCAAGCATCAGCCTTAAGTGGTTTTAAGAGAAAGGGAAGGGGAATGAAAGGCAAGAGAGAAAGAAGGAAGGATAAAAACAAACTTCAGATCCTGGGAATGCAGCTTTCCTGGCAACATCTTGGGGACCCAGTTAGCAATTCCTCTAATGCCTTGTTCCTGCCTGGTGTTTTCACTTAACCAAAGAAGTGGGCAGCAAGGAAAGGGCCGCTTGTTTTTATCCCTTTATGCTTTCCTTAGCATCTAGAGAGAGGAGGAAGAGGTGAGTGGCTGTCCATGGGGAGAGGCCTTTTTATTTTTCTTCAGAGAGTGTAAAATTTCCAAGTGAACAGGGAACTTAAATGCTGTTGGATTATCATCACTGTGCTATACAGGGATCTGGTCGTAGAAGCCATGGCTGACTCACGATGCCAGCACTTAAGATGGTTCGAAATAATGGGAAAGTCTTAACATTCATTCAGTTTGTTTTGCGGGGTTTGATTCAACTTGTACTAGGCTAGCAGTATTGGTACATAAGGGTACTCTGAGGTTCTCTGCATGCTGGATAGCGGTCACAGGCTGCAGTTTCCAAACAGCTAGCAGGTTAGGAGGAGAAACGAAACACTACAGTGTGCCATGTACTAAGCTATGAGGTTCTGTAGGCAAGGTGCACTATTTGCATTTCTGACCTAATAATATTTTTAATAAATCTTTATTTATTGCATGTACAGTGTTCTGCTTGCATGTATACTTGCAGGCCAGAAGAGGGCACTAGATCTCATTACAGATGGTTGTGAGCCACCATGT